GGGGCCGCCGGGGGCTCGCTGCCGCCCCCGTTCTGGGGCGCCGCCGGGGCCTCCCCGTTGGTGGCCGCGGCCGGGGCCTTTCGGTCCGGTCCTGGTGATGGGGTGGTCGCCGAGACCAGGGGTCCCTGCAGGGCCGAGGGCTGCTGGAAACCGGCCAGGCCGTCTGCAGGGAGACCACAGGGCCGTACCTCAGCCCGGGCGGGCTGCCACGGGGCGGGGGTCCGGGGCTAAGGTTGAGCCTGACCCCTCTCCCCCCCAGCGGACAACCCCGTCCTCTGCAGGGGGACCCGGGACCGCAGTGCTCGCCGCTCACCTGCAGGGAGTTTTGCTCCTGGCGAGTAGATCTCTCCCTTGGAGCCTGGCTGGCACACCATGTGGCTGGTCACCAGGTGGCTGTAGAGGATGTCCCTTGTGGTGGAGATGAAGCCACAGTTGTGACAGACACCTGCGGGCCATGCTGTGCTGGTCAGGGCCCCGGGCCTCCGCCCGGCCCCACGCGCTCCGCCCGCCCCGGCGCCCACCTACCGCTCAGTGTGTCCGTGTGCACCTTGAGGTGGCGCTCACAGTTGGCCTTGGTGGTGAAGGCCGACAGGCAGATGAGGCACACGAAGGGCCGCTCTCCTGGAACACGGGTGGAGGAGGCGCTAGCTAGCTCCGGCCCCGGATCCCTGGCCTCTATTACTGGTAGGGAGCCCCTTGTCTCAGCCCTGCGTCGACGTGGACCACCTGCTCTGGGAGTCCCCCTGCCGGGCATGAGGACTGTTCCGGAGCCCACACAGGTGCCTCCCGGCAGGGTGCACTCTCCCGGGCGCCTGTCGGGTCTGTGGCACCGCAGCACACAGCGAGGCACACAGCACCGGCGAGGAGCCTCGTGCTACGTGCCCACGGCAGGGCGGGTGGTGCCCTGGCGTCCGGGACTCACCACTGTGGCTGCGCATGTGGATCTCCAGGGAGCTGGCGCTGGGGCAGCTCTTGCGGCACTGGGGGAAGGGACAGATGCGCTCGTTGGGGTAGGTCTCCTTGGGCTTCTCCTCGGAGGCGGTGGCAGCGGGGGACGCGGCGCGCTGGCGGCTGGCGCAGTAGTAGAGCAGGTGGGCTTGCAGGTTCCGCTCGCTGCGGTACCAGATCCCGCAGTCCTTGCACGGGAAGACGTCTTCTGTGGGGAGAGTCGGTGTGAGCCGTGCTGCTGCAGCCCAGAGGGGCACGCAGCCCTCTGCAGCCTCAGGTCTGGCCCGCCGGGTCCCACGTCCGCCGTCCTTGGGGCTGGTTCCGCCCCGCAGCTCTCCCCTCAGCCTTTTGGTGACTTGTGCAGGATGCAGAGGACCCGTGAGGAACGGGAGTCCCCCCACTGCCGACAGTGGGCGCAGGAAGAAGACGCCTGGGCCCCTGAGGAGTGTGGACATGCAAGTGTGACCGGGCTGGGTGAGCCAGGGCCTTGGAAACGCGTGTGCACTGTGTTTGGGAGTGGCTGTCATCCGGGAACCCGTGTATGCGAGGGAGCTGCGGCACAGGCAGGAGCCCAGGCGAGTGACCGGCGGTGTGCCCAGGCTCTGCAGAGGAGCGTTCTGACTGCCCAGGTGGCTGCGTGCCGGTCACTCACTGGCCAGGTGCACTCATCCATTCAGGGTGGAGGAGCCTCACTAACTGGCTGTCCCTGTTGAGCTCCTGGGCTCGGGGGCTCTGAGGGCCGGGGGGCGGTGCCTCAGGGAGGCTGTTCAGCTCCTGGTTCCCCGACTTCAGGAGACAAAACCGGAGGAACCCTGTGCTTCCTGTCTGCGTACCTTCCCGGCCACCCTCCCTGCTTCGGGCCCTGTATGTGGGTGCTCTTGCCTCCGGGGAGTGCCTCTCAGGCAGGGCAAGGTGAGGAAGCCCTTCAGGGTTTGTCCTTCATGCTCTCCAGCTACTCGGGGTGGCTGGTAGGATGGGGGTCTTGGAGCGGTTGTTCTCTCTAGTGTGGCTGTTTGGTAACACCCAAGTCCCATGTGCTCTGGAGTGGCTGTCCCTACAGGTCAGGCCACAGTTCCACCTTGGGGACCCTCCATGCTGCCTGGCTCACTGTGACACTGAACAAATAACTGGGGGGAGGCGGGGGTCTCACAGCCACCCTGTGAGCTTCAGAGATGGGCTCTGAGGACCCGTAGGGCCTTTCCCTGGCTCAGCTGCCACTTCCCACCTTTCCTGTGGCTCCACCCGCAGCCTAATGCCCCCACACCTTCCCTGCCACCGGCTCTCTGCGCGCCGAAGGCCCTGCGTGTCCGTTCCCTGCATCAGCTGGGAGCTGTTCCTCCTCGGACTCTGTGATGCCTGCATGCATGACAGATACAGGAATGGAACCGGGACCCTGAGTATGCTGGACACGTACCGCCACTGGGTGGGCGCTGCCCGCAGGCCTGTCCCCCTCCCCCCCGGTGGGGACCATGAAACTCACTGTTGATGACTGCCGTTGCCAGGATGGAGGCCATGCCGGCCTGCTGAGGCAGCAGCTGGATGTCGGCGTGCCCTGGGGCCGGGCGCTCTGGCTCTGCTGGCTCCTTCACGGGCTGGCCGGGGGTGCCCAGGGGCTCCGCCATAAGGGCCACATGCAGGCGTCCTCCGGCAGGCACGGGCTTGGTGACTCGGCACCAGAGGGCGCCGTCTGGGGGAGGCAGTTGTCTGTAGTGGTGGTCCGGCACTGCTGGGCCGCACTGCTCTTTGTCCCCATGTAACCCTGGGGTCCCCGCTCAGGCCCAGGGTAGAGGCCCAAGCTCACTGGCCGGCGTGTTCTGCCTCGGTGGGATGGGGTCTCCCGAGCAGGGTGCCCGCCCTCCCCCACGCGTGTGTGTACGTGTTGAAGGTGGTTGATCTGGTTGTCTCATTTGCAGGAGAGGGGTGGCACACGAGACAGGTGGAGACCAGACACGGCTCTGAGTAGCCCCTTGAGCTCGGTCAGAGTGGCCAGAGGTGGTGGGGTGCTGAAAGGATTCTTCCCACTCTGGGACATTGGTTAGGAAGATGGTTCCCGCGACTGCCTGCAGGGGGCAGCCTTGGCAAACAAACTCGGGTGACTAGGCTAGCAGGCCGACCTGATGCCCTCAGAGCCGAAGACAGCCCGCTTAGAACGTTCTAGAAATGCCCCTGGGGATGCACCCCTCCAAGGTTCAAGGAGCCAGGGATAATGGACGCTTTTGACTGCAGCCTCTCAGCCCTCCAAACGTCCAGGTTCCAAGTGGATGGACATGGGGGCGGGGAGACAGGTTCTGAGGTTAGGGCAGCCAGCAGGACCCTGGTCCAGTCGACGTGGGCCAGGCCCCACCTGTGCACCCAGCCTGGGCTTCTAGTTGCTGTTGCTACCCCGAAGTGGACCCCAGGAAGTCCTCGGAGTACTCACCGCCTGGGGCGGGGACCACTGTGGCCGTAGGAGGCCAGGGCACTGCCTGGTAGGCCCAGGCCCCTCCAGAATGGGTGTGCTGAGCTGCCCAGGGCAGGCGGAGGGAGGGGTGATGGGGGTGCCCACTGGATGTTTCCCTTTAAGCCAAGTGACCCCCCGCCTTCCGGAAGGCCGGGAGGGAGGCTCGAGATACTCACCCTTCCTGTAGATCTCCGAGTTGGCTTCGGCCTCAGTCAGGGCCTGGGGCAGCGTCCTTAGCCAGCGGGCCTCATCTGTGAGCTTCAGGGTCAGGGCTGGGCCCTGGGGAGACAGGGACAGGGTGGGGTCAGCCAGCACAGGAAGAGCCTCTGAGGGCCCCCGTGGGCTGAGAGACTGGTGTGACAGGCGTGGTGTGCTGTGCACAATCAGGCGTCTCGGTGGCTGAGAGAGCCCTGGCCCCCGGTGTCCCGTCCAGCGCTGCTGGGACTCAAGGTGCTGTGGGGTGCAGCACCTTCCACAGCTGGGCGTCTGGGTTCTCTTGGAAACCAAGGCCCAGAGAGGTCAAGAAGTATGCTCAAGGTCACAGCCTGAACTGGAGCCAGATCTATGTTCTCTTCAGCATGCCACCCTGCGTGAGTGGGCTGCTGGCCATGAGGGTACGGCCCCCACCCCAGAGGCCCTGCATGCCTCCAGATGAGCTCTCTGCACTAAGGACATGGGCCCAGAGGACAGCTCATCCCTAGAGAGGGACTTGGTGTCCCTCTGGGCCGTGGTGTCCCCCCTCCCCAGGCCCAGGAGGACAGGCTGCCTTTGTCCTCGCTCACTGCCCTGCCTGTGCTGGCCAAGCACTGGCCCCTCCTCTAGGTGACAGTCATCCCCAGTGCCCACACAGCCCCATGCTCCATGGCCTCCTCCCACACCACAGCAAGCAGCCAAGGGCAGGGTCAGCAGGGCCAGAGGCTGAGCTTTGTTTTTTTTTGGGTCCGCTTGTGGGGCCTGAACTCTGGGCCTGGACTCTGTCCCTTTTGGACCAGGACACTTTCCAGGCGGCACGGCTTGAGTGTGGAAGAGAAGAAGCACTGGGCTAGGCCCTCGGGGCCTGGAGGCCACTCAGTTCCCGATCCCCCACCCCCAGCCCAGCCCAGCCCAGCCGAGAAAACACAAGTGGCCTGGTGCTGGAAGAGGACTGGGTGGCAGGGGTCCCGACTACACAGAGAGGGCGAGGCTCAGACTGTGGTGGCTCGGCTTTGCTCTCAGAGTCAGGTAGCGACAGCCCCGGGGCTCTGGTCCCTTCCTGCACGTCACAGGTCAGGCCCAGCCAACGTCCCGTCCATCCCGTAAGGCCACTGAAAAGCCCAACGGTGCATTCCAACCTTGAACCCAAACCCATGGCCACCACCCGTCCCTCCAAGCTCCTTGGAGAGAGGACAGCATGGCTAGGGCAGGAGGCAGGCAGGTGGCTGTGGGCATCCCTAGAGGACGGGCACCTCCCAGCCAGGCCTGGCCTAGCCAGTTCCAGTCCTGCCAGGCCTCTCCACTGAGCCCCCATCCCCGCAGCACGCAGGGAGCTGCCAGGGCCTGCGGGCTGGCCACGCCCGGCGGCAGCGCGTGGAGAGGCCGGGCAGCCTGACCAGGTGGCTCTGTGCAGCCACCTCGCTGCCACGTGGCTGGTGAGGGCGGGGCCCTGCCCCAGCCGGCATTACCTTAACCCATCTGCAGTCCCCTCCACAGTCCTGCGTGAGGCCCCGGCCTCCGCGGGTCTCAGCCCATCCCAAGGGAGCCCCGGGCGGGTCATCTCCACCTGTCTGTGGCTTTCCTCCCAGCACACGGAGCGGGGATGTGAGGGAGGTGCGTGTGATGGCGTGGGCCTGGTAAAACGCCAGCTCTGCCCACTGCCTTCGCTCTCTCTGGCTCCAGGACGCAGTGGGCAGTGAGTGGCCTCCCCCCGGACCCCAGAGTTGCTGTGTTGGCTTAGAGTGTGAATCCCGTCAAAGGAGCTGCCTTGTACCCCACTGTTAATACCCCCCCCCGTTCTCAGGACTGAGCAGAGGGGTGAAAGCGGGGAGTCTGGCAGCCAAGCTGGGGCAGACAGGAGCGGGGAGGAGGGCTGTCATTCCCACCCCTGCGGTGCCCGGCCTGGGCGGGCGGCCATCGGAGAGGCGGCCGGGCCTCGCCCTCCCTGCATCGCCTGCCTTGTCTCTAATGAATATTAATGAGCGGAGGAGGGTGAGAAAATTAATCTGCCTGATCCTCTGATGGTGCTGCGGTAACGATATGAAATCTAATTATTCGTCCCAATATTTCTAAACCCTCAAACTGAGACTGACAGCCTCGCGGCCGGTCTACCGCTTATCGCTCTGGGGAGCAGCATGTTCTCGGCATGATAAAAACACGCGCGCGCGGCTCTGCTGACGCTGCACAACCCGGCCTTTCTGCGGAGGTCTGGGCGCGGGCTCTGCCACTCCACATTCCTGCTGTGGTCTCCACGCAGGGAGCCTGGGAGGGGGCAGGGTGAGAAGGCCAGCCTGGCCTCCCACGGTCCTGACTCAGCCCTCCAGGGCTCTGAGCGGCCTGCCACCTGCTGGAGGGGGAATGCACGGCCCACCCCAAACCTGAGGCCAGGCCGCGCCAGCCTGTCCTGCCCTCTCTGGTCCTCCGGTCCCCCTGGCCCATCCTCTCACCTACTTTGGCAGCAACAGCCTCAGGGACGTGGTCTCTGGGAGGGCCGGGGCTCATGGCAAAGCCTGGTTCCCATCTTGTCCCGTTTCTGAGCAGCCCTGGTACACAGCCCCTTCTCCCTCCTGCCCTGCCCAGCCCTGTGTGTGTGTGTGTGTGGCAGGGGCAGGCTGGGAAGGGCTGGTGCTTCACCCCCTGTCCCGTTCGGTTCTGGGTTGCGGCCCAGCCTGGGCCCCACGTGGCCTGGACAGGTGTGCCCACGACGGGTGACAGTTTCTGAGCCTCCTGATCCCTCCTGGATCCCTGGCCAGCCCTGCAGGACAGCAGCTTCCTTAAATTCTCTGATGGAGCTGGGCACCAGCGGCTCACGCCTGTCATCCTAGCTACTCAGGAGGCTGAGATCTGAGGATCACGGTTCAAATCTAGCCCAGGCAGGAAAGTCTATGAGACTCTCCAATGAACCACCAGAAAACTGTGGCTCAAGTGGTAGAATGCACACCTTGCACTGAAGAGCTGAGGGACAGCGCCCAGGCCCAGAGTTAAAGCCCCACAACAACAACAAAGGCTCTGGCTTCCTGAGGGGTGTGCTGCACTGCCCTTGCTGGCTGTCCCTCTGCCAGTCCAGGCTCACCTGCCCTTTGTCAGGGTCCAGTTTTGGACAGGCCTGGTGGCGGTGCCCGTGCTGGCTCAGGGGCGGGAGGGGGTGGGTAGAGGCTGAAGAGGGCTGGCCCCCCGCAGTCTCTCGAGGGTGGGACGAGGGATGCCGGGGCTTGAGGCCCTTTTCAAACCCACCACTGCAGGAGGGAACCGGGCACAGAGAAGCAGGGTGCCCAGGACCCCACAGGCCAGCAGTGGGCTGGCCTGTCAAGCCTTCTGGCTTCCCCCTTATTTGCTGCTTCAAAGACTGGGCTTGACTGCCCGCCCTGGGGGGGGGCGGCTCCCCCCGGCCCCTGAGCTTCCAGCTCTGTGGGATGCCACCTAGAGCGCGTGCGCGCACACACACACACACACACACACACAC